GTACTTTTTTTTCGCAAGCACGCTTAGGCTTTGTAGTTTCGAACTAGCGAGTCTGCAGCTGTAGTGCAACCGGGTCGGGGTTGCAAAAGAGAGATGGGTATCAGCGTCAACTTTTTACGAAGAGCAAGTGTACTCAACGGCCACCATAATTTGTAATTTCAACATTCAATCCCATTGTAATTTAAAACGCGAACAGATTGTTTTATGCTGTTTCCTCTCATTTATTCATTCTCATGGACCCATCCATATTGATCAGCCGCTTGTAAAGCTCTTCCTTTCTCAGATTCTGCTGATAAGCTCGTCTGTTCGTTTCCCCAGGCAGCACACCTTCATTCTTCTAATGGGCAAGTGCAGCGACTTCTTTAATCGGTCCGCACTTCCGGTCGCCTGCGCATTAATACTCTGACACCTACTTCCGATTATGGGTACTGATGACTCAGGTTGTTTCCGCTGGTCGTAGCTGCCTGTTACAGTACTGCAACCCTAAACAGTTCAAGTTGGTGGTCGCAACAAACAGCTGGTTCTTTTAGGCCACTCACAAGTCAGTAGAGATCATTCACACACAGTTCGCTTTTATTACCTCTACGAAAGGTGCTCGAATGACTAGCGTCCGGCATTTAAATTATTCTCGCGAGTTGTTAGTTACCAACCGACTGGCAAGAGGAGTAAGACCGATTCCACGCCAGAGATAATGGGGGGATAAATATTTTCTGTTGTAAATGGAAAACATTCTGGTCGAAAGTTTTCGCCAGGTTTATATTATTTCAGCGATAGTGAACGATAATGCTCATTTCCATATGCCTGTTCGTTCCGTGACCTCTTCAGTGAAGATATCAGACAGCAAACCGGACTCAAGATATCATCGTTGACAGCAAAATGCGATTGGCCAGGCAATGTTTACTTCACCGGTGGATAGCTCTTGTCATAGGCGATATTCAAGGGATCGCAAGACTGTTGGACCATGCTCCAGAAGATTGGACGATTCATCTCTGGCTGTCTGGTTTTAGGACCACTTTGAGGAAGGCACGAACGCGAAAAGAATGGAGAAAGTGCTGTGCCAGGCGCAGTGTATGACTGCTGGGCTAAACTGAGAGAAACGATGAAATCTTTATGTACAAGTGCTCAAGGCATACTTCATAATAGCTCTAGAAACATTGTCCGCTAATATGCTCGAGTCAGCTTAGCTAAAAATGCAGCGGTAAGTTTCATTTTCTACATCACAGTAAAATAAATAAGGGCAGTAAATCATTACTGACGGTCTGTTGCAGAGAATTTATTTTGTCAAAACGTCTAACAGTTTAACCTGATAAACCTGTTTTATTATGTTGGGTAAACCGTTCTGAATTTTCTTAAATCAGCTATCAGTCACTTTTAAATAAAGTTTTTTCGTGCTGTGTGTTATATGCTCTGCACTGATTTTAAGCCCAGCTTTTGCGATACCGAGGATGCTCGACCAAACTAAATACAAGCTGTCAGATATAGACGTTTTCGAAATCCACGAAGCATTCGCGGTAGCTCTGCATTGCATTACATTTGTTGAACGTTAATCGGTGATATTTCAGGGCGTTTTGCTGGCTAACTTAAAGGCTTTGGATTCTGATTACTTCGCAAAAACCTGTCTTGGAAGATCAGAAAAGGTGTGTAGGCTTATATACAGTTTTTACAGTCTTGTAGTCATTCTCGATACAACCTTAGTTCGGTATCATACCGATGGAAAAAGTGAATCTTTGGGGCGGCTCTTTGGCTATTGGCCACCCGTTTGGTGCAACCGGCGTCCGGCTGGTTACTCATGCAGTTAATCGCTTAATTGACACAAATGGGAGATTGGCATTAGTAGCGGCTTGCGCCTCGGGCGGCTTAGGTCACGCGATGATTATTGAACGATATGGTTGCTAGAATAGCTGATTTTGCGTGGCTTACTGTCCTTCACTCTCAAAAAATAATGTAAAGTTACTGGCTATATTGTTTATTTGTCCTAATAAACATGGCATCTTTCTGTTCACGTTTGGAATTCTTGCCATTTGTAAGATAGCAGCAGAAGTGTAACTTGAAACTTGAAGCTTGTGTTAGATGCTATGTGATTAGTTTTGAAGTGTCTTTAACACTGTGCAGCTGCTGATCACAATATGATCTATCGTCACACGACGACGATACTGCGGTTTTACAGCA